GCAGGCGGGGATTGAACTCATGTGGAAGTGGTTTCAGCTTCTTAGTGCTGTGCTTTAACCCGCTGCGCCACCAGGGAAGGCCCTTTAACAAATTTTTTAATGTATCTCTTTTTGGTATTTAGAGGGCAGTGGTGAGAAATTTAGAAAGCATGTATTAGCAAAACAGTTCTATTACAGAAAAGAACTGGGGAAAGTAATACAGTGAGAGAAAATTTCAGTATCACTTAAGGGAATATTTGTTATGGAGTGTTACGAACCATGACCATTATTTATAACCCAATCTCTTGTCCCCAGAACAAGAGGCCGAGGAAGGGGACGAGGCAAGAGGCGATTTGGCCCAGGTCGAAGGCCAGGGCGTCCCCCCAAATTTATCCGCTTGGAAATAACCAGTGAAAATGGGGAAAAGTGTGATGATGGGACACAGGTACTGGGGGATGGGAAGGAGTTACTGGTTAGATGCTTGCTTGGAGGACTTAACAGAACTTTCACTAGACTTTCAAATACAAACTGTCTGTTAACTAACGTATGAATAGAGAAAGACAAAAAAACTATTTTCAAATGTCAACGAGAGCTCTATTTTGTTGGCTTAAAAAGTTTTTGAAATATTTCAGTGATATTATTGGGGAAGTCTTGAATTAATTTCAGCAATTAAAATGATAATATTCCAGAATATTCTTAGTCCTGTCACAGTTTTTTCCTCATGAAGTGATCTGGACTATGTTATAATTTGTACATTCTGAGGAGAAATACCTCTTTAACTTTCATAGCAGGAGCATATTTTTTCTGAGAATTGTGACTCTGGTCATTTAAATAAATAAGCAGCAATTATGAATCTTAGCTGTTATTCCTTCTAGCACTAATCTCTGTCTAGCTAGGGAAATAATTCCTGATGATTGCCATTTCAGGACTTGCTACATTTTTCTACCAAGGAGCAATTTGATGAGACTGAACCCGCTACTCTGAATGGGTTGGATCAACCAGAACAGACCACCCTCCCAATCCCTCAGCTGACTCAGGAGACCTCATCTTCTCTGGAGCAGGAGCCAGAAGCTCACAGCCTGCATCTACAGCCACAGCATGAGGAGAGTGTGCTACCCACACAGAGCTCCCTGACTGCCGATGACATGCGCAGGGCCAAACGCATCCGAGTAAGTGGGCGGCAGGGCCTTCTGTAGGTGCTGGCTTTCCTCCAGTCAGACAGCTTCCTGGGTGGTGCTGTTTCCAGTCTGCTCACTCTCCACTTGGACATCCTGCCTCTAGCCTACCGTACCCTCCTTATCTTGGAAGAAAGTACTAACAGTTTCTCAATGCCTACGTGAGGCTGGAATGACTGGTTCAGATTTGAGTGGTTTGTGCATAACACAGAAGCCTGGCTTGGGCAGTTCCTGGACTAGCATAGCTGAAGTAGGATAGCTCTCTGGATGCGAAACTCACACGTGGGAAAAGGAAAAAGTAGAAAACTTGGTTATAATAATGATGTACATGTTAGGCCAGGCCTACCCTTGCCTAATGATAGCTCTTAGGTTAATTTTGGTTATCTATTTGGTTATCTATTTCCAGGAGACTGGCCAGTGTCATTACTCATCAATGCAAAGGGATCTGTGGCCAGGTTGATGTCACAGGTATCCTCTGTGCACCTGGGGGAAGCTGCAAGTTGAGCATTAGGTTTGGGGGGGTCTGTCTGGGTCTTGTGTGTGACCTGTGACTTGACCACAGGCTGTGTGGCTATGGGGCCTTCACGGCTTCCAGGGCAGAATTGCTTTTCTCTGTGTCACAGATAGCAGTTGAGTCTGAGTGAGGAGCTCAGGGGATGCATGCAGGGAACAGTATGTATGGTTTGTAGGCTGAGACCCTGTTCTGACAATTTACATCCAGAACAAAATGTCTTGAAACTCATGTCAGAGGCAGCAGGACATATAAGGACTTTTATGCTATTTAGCACGTCATGTGTGGTGAAAGAGAGGTTTTGTTTTAACTTTCCAGGTTTTATAGTTTCTAGATGGACAACTGATTTAGTATATGTTTCTTTTGATCTTATTTGCCTATAAGCTAGAAGGGACCTTGAAAAATAATCCAGTCCGTGCCTTCATGTTAAAATACATTGAAGTGTTTATAGTGATAAGATAGCATTGGAGGGCTAAGTGCTCTGAGGCTGAATCACCTTTATGCGTGAGGGTCTTGTGATGGAAATATAAAAATGTTGACTCTGTTTATTTATATTACTTTCAAAGCATGTATACACACCCACATCTAAACCAAGAAGGCAGATGGCTAAGAATAAAGACCTTCCTGCTCCCCATTCCACATTACTTCCCAGCCTGCATGTCACTCTGTTGCCCAAGTGCTATCTTTTTCACTTTGAGCATTCTGACTCTTCACTAAGTCCAGAGAAATGCTTCCTACAGGTAATTTTTTTGGAAGGAAGACACTGAGGTCCACACAGGAGTACAGCTGTGCTCCAACCAGCATTGTCTGGCCCTGCACTTGTTGCTTCCCTGGTTGTGGTTTCTGTGCCAAGGCAGAAGCCACTTGTCATGACATGGCTTTTGAGGGCACTCAGAGTTGACTTATTTTTTGCCCCTTCTCACACATTCTAAAAAGCAGGGCTATGTATTTGCCATCCTTTCTACCCAGATTGGCAGTGACCACTGCAGGGAAGTCTTCCAGTCCTCTCGGTAATGTAACTGTTTTTCTCTCCTCCAATGCTGCCTGCTCAGTTGGAGCTGCAGGTAGGTTTGTTTCCTGTGTTTCACATAACAGAACGTTATTTAAGTGTTTGCCTGACCTGCTGTTCTTTGCAACCTGTACTTACTAAATCCTGGTGAAAACAACAGTCTGGTTGCTATGGTAAATGAAAATTAGTTCACGAATAATGATCATTTATTTTCAGATAGACCAGTGAGTACATTGTGGGCTGCAGAGTTCTCACACACAAATGAAGGGCAGGACTCAGTGATCTCCAAGGTCCCTTCCAGTTGTAAAATGAGTGGAGTGACTCATGGATTGGTATTGATTTCTACGTATGTGTTTGACACTGTGCTAGCTTCACAGTATCATTTTCAGTTGAGCGCTGTCCTCTAGGAGCTTACAGTCTAATTAGGGAGGCAGTGCTAATGTAAGGTGGCTTATGTTGAGTTTCTAAATTTAAAGTTGAGCCTATAATTGTGATAGGAAATTGGAAGAGTGAAAGACCAAAGAAAGACGAAGGCATTGGATTAAATCAGAAATGAAGTAAGACTTTAATTCTTCTTGAAAGAGAGGCAGGAAGAAGGCATATCATTTCAGAGAAGGACAGTCATAGGACATCAAAAGCCAGGACACAGGCATGTGCTTGGCATGGGCTAGGGACAGTGCACATACTAGCTAGGCCCCAGCATGGGATTCCGAGTGAAGGAAGTGGGGAGTGAGTATGTTGGGCAGAGCTGGCCCACCAAAGACTTTGAAATCGGGGCAGAAAACAGGCCAAAGTAAAGTTGAAGAAAGAAAGAAAAGCCAACAAGCTAACAAGATTGATTTCCTTTCAGTGTCAAGATCAAAATAGGATGAAATTTGATCAATAATTTAGCTATTAATATCAAACTTTGGAAACACTTTATGGTCATTGTCTGCAAAAAGTCTGTTTTCTCAGAATTCACTTCAACATGATCCAAATCCCTCATACAGGTTTAGCAAATAAACACCACTTTGGCTTCATTAGAATAGCTTATGTTCCACATTCCATTATGTGGAATGGTATAGTTGACTGCAGTTCAAGATTCAGAAGCTCCATCGTGGATCTCTTTGTGCTGCCTTCACTGTCTTTCATGGTTTCTTCTAGAAATATGTACCAATTGTAGCTGTGAACTACAGAAGCTACCTTAGCTTGTTCATGCAAGTGGGCCATGAGATTGGAAGCATCTCAGCACTTTCACTCTTGAGTAATATTAGCATTACATTACAATCATTAGATCAGAGAAATGCAATCTAGTTCTCAAATACTTAGACAGTATTCAGAGCTCCATAGAAATTAAAAAGATGATAAGAACAGTTTGTTGATAGAACAAAGAAAGTAGAACTAGGTGGCTGCTGAGTTGAAAATCAAAAGTCTGAGGACACTCATGCTAACAAGAGCTGACAGAAGGCTTACTAGCATAATGGACCAAAGCAAAGTGGAATTCAAGGTTTGGCACCCAAGGAGGAAAATGGGACCAAGAGCTCAGTTGTTGTGCCTTGTGTCTGTCCTTGGAGTGTGGATAAAGGAAATGATTCTTCCATGCCCAAAACTAAGGATAACTTTTGCCTACCTGTAATATTTCAGTAACATTTTAAAAGTGGCCAAAAATAGTGAGAGCTTTTGTGTAAAGTGTCTGGAGAGAGTGAAAAGAGCAAGTGATTGCTGAGCCATGGAATGAAGTGAAAGAAAGTTCTGTGTCTGATTGGAGGAGGTCTGTTCTTTGAACTCTAGCAAAGATCTTGAAGTAATTACTTTCAATTTTCTTATGAAACATATTTCATCAATTCTCAGGTTTTCATTGGACTTTTCATATGAGCTAAGCGATTTGTTATGGGATCTAAATACAAAGGAGAATTAAAATGTAACCTTGAAGCAGCCCTAATTTCTCCTTCATCTTTGTAAGACAACAGAATTGCTAAATATCTACTCAAGAGAAATGAGTAGGTAAAATCTCTCTCTTGATCTATGAGAGAAGCCCTGAGATGGAATTTCTCAATTATATAACAGCTCTGTTTAGACTTTTCACTAAATCAAAAATAATTATTTTGCTTTTCTACTAAGTGATTGTTTGACATCATGTTTAGTTTAGAAATTGCTGCTTGTACATGATTTGAAATTAAGGATTTAGGCATTCTTCCCCATTCAGTTTTCATTTCCAAAACAATACATTATGCTTTGCAATTATCCTTCACTTACTCCTTCTTTTAGTGACATAAGCACACCCATTCACAAATGTATTTTTCAGGAATGTTGTCCATGCCATGCCTATCTCAGACTACCCCATTGATAACTTTGAGGACCTTATGAATGAGTATTATAGCATTACTAAAATATTGACTTTGTATTCTCTGTGTGAAGGAAGATGGTATCGATCTGCTTTCAGTAGAGTGTGAGTTGTTTTTACAGTAATAGTGGTGAATTTGCACTGAGAGGCCATATTCTCTCTCTTGGATTCCCTGTAACAATTGCATGGATTTATAGATAGCTAATCAGCACTAGAAATGCAATCTTTCTGGAAAGAAAAATAGTAAAATTGACTGGTTTAGACAAAGAGACAATGTTTTGTTAGCACAGCCTTCCAAGTAGTGTAATGAACTACCTACATTGAGAACTTCTCTGCATTTTCTAAGTAGGAAGTGATTAAACACATTCTATTTATGAGGTATGCCTCTGAACAAATGTTCACATAAAGCTATGCCCTTAATTTTGCTTTCAGTTCTTTCACTAAATTGAGATAAAATTCAAACAACACAGAATCGTCATCCTTAACGGAATTTCCAGTTTAGTCCTAATGTTGTACAACCATCACCCTTATTTAATTCCAGAACATTTTCATCACCCTAAAAAGAAGCCCCATATTCATAGCTTCCTTCCCCCAACTTCTGGCAAGTACTAACCTTTTGTGCTTTTCATGATATTTTTTGTTGGCTAAACATTTGTGTGTGTGTGTGTGTGTGTGTGTGTGTGTGTGTATAGAAGAACTGCGGTGTAGAGCAGAGGTGTGGTTGGTGAGAGGATTCACCAGAGATAGTGGGGAGCAGAACGGGCAGATTCATTGAGGGGAGCAGTGAGCAAAACAAGAGAGATCTGCTGTGCAGTGTGAGTTAGTTCTCTGGCTGGGGATCGAACTCAGGTCATAGGGGTGATAATGCAGAGACCTAACTCTTAGGCCACCAGGGAAGCCCTGCTCGCTAAAGGACATTTTAACCAAACTTGTATTCAAGGACTTCAATAAGTAATATAAGTAATATGGAGCTGATATGCTCCATCCTCACCCATACATGTGTGACGTATTTCTTTCAAATTTTCATTTTTATTCTACTCCACTTTGGGTTTTACCTGCTTTATTATCCAGGTCTCTATGAGGAATACCCTTTTGAATCTTATTTAAATCCTTTCTAAAGAAAACACACATTTTTAGGTCTAAAACAAACCATACCAATTGTTGGTCTTTTCAAGAAAGACTTCTTTAGGAATAGCGTCATTTTAATCTCTTTGCCAGAACAATCTTCTTCCATGTATGTGTCCCAGAGTTCCATTTCTATGAAGACTTTCTGTTAAAAATGTGTAAACCACTAAGTAATCATACTTGTATCTGTCTTTCAGAATGCAGCTCTTCAGCATCTATTTATTCGGAAGTCCTTCCGGCCTTTTAAATGTTTACAGTGTGGAAAGGCCTTCCGTGAAAAGGACAAGCTGGACCAGCACTTGCGCTTCCACGGGCGAGAGGGGAACTGCCCTTTGACCTGCGACCTCTGCAACAAGGGTTTCATCAGTAGCGCATCCCTGGAGAACCACATGAAGCTCCATTCTGATCAGAAGACTTACTCTTGCATTTTTTGCTCAGACTCCTTCGATCGCCTTGATTTATTGAAAGATCACGTGGCCATTCATATCAACGATGGTTGCTTTACCTGTCCAACTTGCAAGAAACGGTTCCCAGATTTTATCCAGGTGAGTGCCTATCACTGATGGTGTAGACTTCCTACTTTTGATAAAGACTCTTCAAATTTTAGAAAATTGAGACTTCCTATCCAACAACCTGTTCATCCTTTCTTTGAAGTAACTGCTTTTGAGAGTATTTCTTTAATCAAACTATTTTTGATAAGCAAAAGATTACTGTGACCCTTAATTGTGGAAGTCAGATTTGGGCAAACATTTAAGTTGTATTACATCAACTAGAACCCAGATCCAGTTCTAAATTTTCAAGTCTTTCTTAATCCTGGCCAGTATCCACAATTCATAAAATAATATAGATCCTGTAGAAGGTAGATTCCTATTTCCTGGCCTGGAAACTTTTTCTCTATGCTACTATAATTTTCTTTCTTCCATTCCTCAGATCATAAATTTTGGAAGGAAACAAACAGAAAGTTGGTGTATAATATACTTTTGTATCAAGCACTGAGTGGCTCCCTTGTAGTAGATTCTAGAACAAAATGGGGAAGGGAGAATTAATTCCAGAATATTTGTGATTTCATTTGGACTTCAAAGTGATGATATTATGTGCTAGTCAATGTAAATTTGAATATCTGGTGAGATAGACACTTTGGGGAATGTCTCTCTTTCTCTCTTTCTAAAAAATTACCAAAACAAAAGGAGATTTGGATTCAAGCATAGTTTTGCTAGTGTTGGAAGTCTTGATAATTTTCTTACTTTACACAATTAGAAATGTTTCCTTAAGGTGGACTCTAATGGCAAAAAGCGATTCCAAAGATAATGGTGCAGAATTCCTATAGCAGTAGTTAGATGTAAGCTCTTTTCTGTTGGATATTTATAACTAAGAGAGTTTTAAGACCACGTTCCTTTCTTTACGTTATCTAAAAGTACAGGAAATAAGTCCCAATTTAAAGTGATGCTGGTATTTTATTATTCTCATAAATGGGAACCAATGCATGTCTTTCATTGTTTTGAACCCATTCTTATAGAAAACTGTGGAAGGACCAGTTACTGAAAGGGGATAAATTGCCTCTATATATGTTGACAGCAGAAAAAAGTGAGGAAGAATGATTTTCTATTTTTCTATGGTTAAAATTCATTTAAGTAAATCCAAAGGAGCTCTGCTTTAAATCTTAAAAAAAAAAGGGGGGGG